AATCATCTTCTCCAGTCGATAGCATGATAAAATAATGTTAGTCAGTATTCATAATTTCTGTGCTGTCTAAATTTGGATAATAATTTTATAACTAATGAAATAACTTTTACTACTGCTACTGTGATTTAAGATTTCAAAAACCTTTTTAATCACTTTTTGTTTTTCAATTTTTTCTGCCTCTTACCTATAAAATTATTTAAAAGAGTGAAAAAAATTTTCATAACAAAACCAAAATAATAATCCTTTGTTATTTTAAATCCTGCTTGGAAGTAGAATTAACATATGCCTCTAAATGTAAAATCATTTTATATGAAATAGATTTTAAATATTATTTTCGAGAATTCTGAGTTCTGGCGACATCTTTTTGCCAGTTTGAAGAAGTTTCAAGGTCATTCAAAAATTAAATAAAATAATCTTTCATCCAAAACTTTACTTTCAACTCCTTTTGGCCAAAAAGAAATATCAGTTGCTCTCAACAATCTATTTATTCATTTTTTTTTTGATATTATTAAATCTCAAAGTTTTTGATGAAATATTAAAGAAAAGAACAATTACTTATGCTGCTATTTAATCTGAAATCCTAAATTAGTGGCTAAGTGACTAGCTTAGCCACGTTTACTGATAGCCAAGTTTCTCAATAGCAAACGGAAAAAAAATACTCTTGTCGTTTTTGCTCTTCAATTTAGAAAATTTATCATTGCTAGAATCATTATCCATTCGTTTTTCACGCATTCTACCATTTCATTCTTTTTCCGCTAATCAAAAGGCGCATGAAATAATGAAGGTGCATTCGAAGTTTGTTCCAATAATTCCTTTTTAACATTTTTCTCACCTTATCTATATTTATTCATTTAAAGAATTATTTGTCCGTTTAAAGAATTTGGCATTAGAAAAAAGGAAAAAGAAAAAGGGAAACGAAAAAGATCTTATCCATTTCCTTCACTCTCTTTTTAGCCTTATCCTACCACGAAATGGTTTCTCTTCTTTAAAATACATTGTGCAGTGAATTACGTCTTGAAATTTTTATTTCAATTTATGTGTCAAAATTTGAAAAGAGATGGAAGAGAATTAGGTGAAGGTGAACAATAACATTCTTTACTGAAAAACTGTTACCATCCTCGTACATTTAATTCCTGCAGCACTTTTTCCTCCCTTTTTTAATTGTACCGAAATTCTTTTTCTTTTTTTTCTGAGTTATTTCACTATTTTTCTTTATCAAAAACTTTTGCACATCACCTTGAAAAGTGGTAGGAATTATTAAGGGCTACCGACATCAGTCTCACTATTATTCGTTTTTTTTTTACATTTAATTTATTTTATTTTTTTTAACCGGAAGCTTTTGAGAATAGCTATTTCGATATTTGTGATGGTGATGACCCAGAAAGTTCAAGAAATGTATATCATACAAATGATATGGGATTCCGAAGAAATGCGGACATGATAACATGTATCATACCTCTTAAATTCCAATTTAATCGACTTCTATGCCCGTTTGCTATTCAAAGCGCTCAATTGTATAGCTATCTATTTTCCATTCATTTTACTTAAAAGTCTTACCTTCTCTTATTGATTAATTTATTTTTTAATTTAAGTTGCTTATTAAATTTCAAACAACTATAGAAGATAGACTGACAGTTATTCAATGACATCAATGTCTTTTACAAACATATTAAACTGTCTTTTACAGACATATTGAACTATCTATTACAATTCACCGTGAGTAGTTTGGCATCATTTTTAAATCTTAAAGAGTAGAACTTGAGCAAAGGTACTTTTTCATTTATCCCTTCGTACTTTCAGCTTACTTTACATGGAAATTATTCTATCAATTTATTGCAAAAGGATAAAATATTTAGCTAAATTAAAAGTAAAAATTAATTTTTTCAATGAAATTGAGTAAAGCCAGTGACCGATAATACTTATTGACCCCAATTTCACTACCAACGGCATTGTCTTGTACTATTTGTTGATCTAATTGATTGAATGATTACAGTGGAAGATTTGGCAGCCATTTGTCTCTTCTCCCTTTCCAATCTATCTTCTATATTGTCATGTCCTCATTATCATTTTTAATAAGCCAACTTGTATTGACCACAGATTGATAGTTCCTTCGCACTCATTCACTTTCAACATCGTTCAGAGTGGCATTTCGATTAAGATGTTATGAACTAGCCCATTTATCATTTTATAAAATTTCAATGAAAACAAACTCATTTATAAAACTCATACACTATTTTGGTTAGTCTGTTCAATTCTTCTATGCGATTCTATTCATTTATCTGTCAATTACTAAAACTGATCATTTCTGCATATTTATTCAAGTGATTTAGACAATTAATTATGACTGATGATTTGAGTGACTAATGAATTTTGTGCAAATAAAATTATCAAACTCTCTTTGCAATTAGCACATTGTGCACAATTTTTTCGATGAATTAATTGAGAAAAAAAGGATTTTAAAATATCGTAGAGAAAAATGCCAAATATAGGTACTACGATAAGTTTTCTCAAATTCATTCATGCAAATAATTCTTAACAGGGACTATTTGAAACTTGAAACTCAAATTCTCGAGATACCACTCTTATCGCCTATTCTAGAATTCTTCGGCAAAAGACAGAATTATGACAATTCAAAAATTGCAAAATATCAACTTTATGTTTTCATGAAGATAAAAATCTGATCTTTATACTTGATTTCAGAAGTTTCAGAGATTTGAACTAAAATATATCTGCATATATACGCTATACGAATCAGAATTCGAAAATTGAAAACTTTCGAGTTGCAGTTTTGAATTTAACTCTCATTTACTGATGAATTTATTTAAAATCTTAACTACATGATATACAAACACATTTTACATGTGTTTTTATATCATGCAGCGAAATGATATACAAATACATGTAAAATTTTACTGCGTCAAAAATGACGGCTAATACAGGTGAATATAGCACCATCTTCTTCTCCAATTCATAATATTAACCGTTATAATCAAGCAACAATAACAAAAAAAATCTGACTGCATCATCGACAGTTATTTTCCACGCAAAATGTGCAATTATATTTAAATAAGCAAATAGAATTGCAGTGAAATGATATGCATTTTATTTTCGTAATTATCTTAAATTGTATCGTTACTATAATTGAATGACTGACATGAAATAGATCTAATTTTAAACAGATATTTTTTCTTTTCATGCGAAAATTAAAAAAAAAAAGCTTCATAATTTGTTATTTTAATTTTAATAATCTTTATTTTTCAGCTCACTTCACTAAAATATCTCAATGCAAATGTCACAAAAAAAGTAGTGAAAGGTTATTCCAATATCTATTAGGTATTAATAATGGAAATATGTAATTTATTGGCGGTAAAAATGAATCGTTGTAGATTGAAAATATAATCAATTTATTGATATTATTTGTTATGGTACTGATAATTTTCTATTAAAAGTTCAAGTCAAACATGCATATGCGATTTAAAAACTGAGCTAAAAAGAGCAAAATGGAAATTTTTGTTTGCACTAGTTTTCTTTTTTTTTCGTATCAATATCATCATATAAAAGGGAGTTGGCATTGCCCTTCTTCGATTCCATCAGCAACTTTTGTCACCAATACTAAGTCGATCTGTACCGATGAAACCCCTCCTCTTAGTATTACTTTGAACCGTAGAAGACAGAATAGTAGGAATTGAAATAATTTCTTTCATCTATTTTTTAACTTTTCATCTCATACAAGAAGCTTTGAATAATACAAAATTTAGTAATTTAACTATTGTTAATTGTTAAAGTGAGTACCGCTTTCTTTAATGGTCAACTCTTTTTTACAAGAGCTAAATTTTTCAAATTAAAGTTCAATGCCTTTTTTTTTAAATGCTCAACTGCCTTGCATTACCATTTATTTTACTTTGAAACTGCTACTACTTCAATTAGCCATTGTCTTTCATAGTATATAATCAATTTGACAAATATATAATGAAGAATGTAACTTTTGTTCAGAAACTCTTAGTGTAATTTTCAAAAGTTAAAGTGGGACAATATTTTGACTTGACAATTTTATAAGTTAAATTTGAATCATCAATTATTGCTATCTTATCATGTCGGAAGTCATGAGTTATTGCCATCCTATCATGTTGTAGGATTCTGTAATTATCATTTAATCGTTCCTACTGGAAAGAAAAGAAATGAGATTATTGCATGAATAGTTGAATGTATCAGTCTGTTCAAATTTACGGTAGTACAAATGTTTACAAGAATTTCCACTTCAAAATTTGGGTTATTTGAGAGACATTTCTACATCTGTATCAAATTTCAAATTCATTGATTCTTAAAATCTACTTGCTTAATTTTACTTTCTATTAGTCATTTGAACTTTTTGAAAAATAAGACCGGAAAGTTGAATGAATTCATATGACCGTAAACGCTTATATTTCTTCCCTTTCTATCACATACCTAACATTTAAAACTTCAGTAAGTCTTGTATGGTGAAAATTTTTTCTTCACTTTCAAAATTAATGCCAATTTTCACAGAGATATTTATATATTGTCATCAATACTTGTTAGTATGTATGTTTATGATATTGATTTTGTAGCAGTTAAATATAATAATAATGCTAACTTTTTTGGTAAATAATTAGAAGGAGATAAATAATTTTGGTAAATAATTCAGTATAAGTATGTTACATTATCTTTCTTTTACTTTTTACTTTTAAACCTTCTCCTTTGATTACATTGAATGGAATACATGAATTTAGATTCAAAATTAAAAATTTTACATATAAAAATAAAATATTAAAAAGTGACAGTTAAAGAAAAACATTTTTGTAATCAAACTTCTTGTCTGTAATTCATTTTGCTTTCGGTAGAATGTTTAAGCCTGCGAAAATTCGAGTATACTCTTAAATAGACTATTTGAAATATTTTCAAATTTTTAAAATTTACTTTCAGGAATCGAGAAAAAGAGAAGTTTCAGGAATTGGTAGAAAATTAGGCGATTTGGTGATAAAATGTTGCACCGATTATTGCTGCTATGGACAACACTTTATGGTGTATTGTTGCGTCCTAGCAATGCAATCACGAAAAGTTTTGTAAATTCATCGATGCCGGATATGCGGCCAACATTTGTTGTTAACTTTGACACCGGTACCGTCATTTGTCAACATTCACCCCATCCGGATGATTTGCATCTGCATCAAATCTCGATTATATGTGATGGCAAGCCAGATTGCTACAGTAATCCAGCAATGCATGATGAAAGCTTTCCGTATTGCGGTACTTTCTTTGAATTTTTAATAACATTTTATAATATAAAAGCGATACAGAATGCTCGAAAAGATTTAAGAAGATTTATTTAGTCAAAATACTTTCATTAAAAATTTTTTTAAAGGAAAAAAATAAATCTTTTTCGACTGTCAGCTCGATTAATTTCATTTTTGAAAAGATGCTATAAAATATTACAGTCTTCTTGAATTTGCTATCACTATCTTTAGCATCAGATGTTAGTTACATCATAAATATCCACTGATTTCAAATTGTCCACCCTTTTAGGTAAACTATTAGAAAACTCATAAATCATCTCAATATAATTTTACTCGTTAAAAAAAATGTATGGGTGAAGAAGTTTTTTTTAATTACATAAAAATGCAGTGTTTGTAATTTCTACAAAATTCACATAATGGAAATTGTTGAGTAGTCGAGAAGTTTGTATTCTTAAATTGGTTTCAAAAAAAGTTTATGATTTGATTTATAATATTGTGAAGAGTGAAAGAATATGTTCGCTGATTTATCATAACAGTTTTAAAATCATTTCTTTCTCTCCCATGCAAAAAAACTATCGTATAAAAATAGAATATGAAATAAATTCAAATAATATTTGAAATTCGAATATTGGCTTGCAACTCAAAAGAAAATTTATTTAAAAAAACGAAAGCAAAGAAGCTAAGAAAAGTTGATAGTCTTCATTTTTTAGGACTGTTAATTTTTTTTCAAACGTTTTCCATTTTCAATTTGAACAGTAATAAACTAAATGTTATTTTCTTCAAATAAATCGTAATCTTTTTTTCGTTTACTTCAAAATTTTAGTTTTTCTTGATTTACTTTAAAAAAAAATCTCCAGAAGAAAATTTTATTGTTTCTGGTAAGTTATAAATTTTTTTCTAGAATAACCAATCAATTAATTGCTTTCCTTTTTTATTTCTTTTCTTTATCAAAGATTGTTATTTAATTTGATTTTCATTCACGCTCCTCTCTCGAAATCCCTTACTCCCTTAACTGCTCATAACAGTATAGCATTTATGTATTTGATGCCAATGAACTTCTCTCATTTTGGCTTTTCTCGTTGGGTGGATGAGTTGGTAACAGTTACGATAAATTGCCGCCCTGTCTTCATACTTCACCTTCATGCGACAAACACCATAAATGCGCTTTAAAAATTTTCTGAAAGGTAGCGAATCGGAATTCTTTTGTCAAAATTGTATCTCATCTTATCTATAAACGGTTGAGATAATTTTTTTCATTTTAAAGAAAAAAATGAGAAAAAAATTCGACGATATTCTCTATGTATTGTACAACAATTTCCATTTAGAATGAATGGAAAACATTGTATTGTAATAGAATTGCGAAAATTGAAATTTGCAAAATGACCGCCCGACACTAATCAATCAGTTCGTATTATGTTTACACATGCAACAATTTTTTTTTTTTGTGAATTAAAATCCGAAAGCTTTTCTATTAATTCTTCTGTTTGATAAAATTGAATAATTGAATAATGAATTTGCACGCTCTAAATTTAAGCACTTATGGTAACACAAAATATTCAAAAATTGTGATTATTCAATTTATCGGTGATCATTCGTAACAAATCAGGGGATTAATGAATTTATCTCTCAATTTAATTAGATTGGCGTAATTTATGGTATAATTAGCTCTTAGGAATGTTTAAATTAACAATAAATGTTTAACAATCAGTTCAATATTTCTTTTCAAATAGCCAAGCAATGCATAATTTTCAGTCTTTTTGGCAATTATTTCTGAACTTCTCAAAAGAAATTCGAAACGCAAAATTTTGAAAATTTTCATCTAATGTTATCACTTTCAAGTACGATTAATTTTTCTATTAATAAAACTGAAATTGAGAATGTGATAAGAGAATTTGAAAATAACTGATGGAGAAACTTGTTGATAATTAACAAAATAGGATTGTGTGGATTTTCATACTGCAATTTTGCAAGAAAAAAAAACAGTGACAACATCAAGCATACTACACGGTTGAGTTCATTATCTTATATCAAATAATTATGCATAAATTCCTTGAAAATGATTCCAAACAAATTTCAAAAATTTTTCATTTAATCCATCCATTCAGTTCTTGTTAAGTTACACGTAACGAGTAGAATTGATTTATAGAATTTAAGTTTTAGCTTTAAAAATGTGGAAACAATTATTTTAAATTTGATACTTTTAAAGAATTCAAAATTTACAAGAGAAGAATAACTTATCATTATCAATTATTTTCCATGGTTTCCCATGCTAATTTTTTTAATTAAAAAAATGATATGCTTCATTCAGGTAGCCGATGTAATTCGACATGCAATCAACGAGGTGCATGCTTGTTCGATGGAACTGAGGGACAGTGCTACTGCAATGCCGGTTATCATGGCCCGCATTGTGAGCTTAATGGTATGAAGTTTGCAGTTTTTTTTACAACTATGCAAAAATATTTCTATCATTAATGATGATAATGAAATATATCGTCGAGAATAAAATCTTTAGTAAGAATTTCGAAAAAGATCGTTTTTTTTCTTTTTTAAATTTTAATTAATCACTATTATGCAATCATTTTTGGTTTTAGATAACAATGAATGTGAGGATAAACCGTGTCATTGGTTGGCACATTGTCGTAACACTTACGGTTCATATTCTTGTACATGTTTTCCGGGATTTCAAGGAGATGGACACGAATGCTCCGGTGAAATAAATTTTATAAATTCTCTTTTCTAATCGTTGTAAAAATTTATTGATTACCTGTTAATATCAAAATAAGTCATTCCGATTTCTTTGCGGAATTAAAACTGTTTATTTTTTATTTCTTGATTTTAAACCATTCTTCCAATCATATCTTTTGTAATGAAAAAAGAAGACTTTGCATATTACTATAATAATATCCTCAATTTACAATTAAATTAATCGTTTATAATAAAGAGATCAAAACGTTAACAAAAATTTTGATAAATTCCACTATTATTCATTTTAGATTAATCTTTTTTAGATCTCTCTCTTTCTTTCTCTCCCCTTCTTTTATTTGCCCAGTTAAGCTTTATTTTGATCCATCGATTCTGTCTAATGTTTGATCAGACAGATTACTTTTTAAGAGTTCTAAAGTAGTCTATTCTTTTGTCTGTCGCTTATCTGAGCGGATTATAAATGAAATGTTACTTTGTTCCATGATAAGTTATTTATTGTTTTAGATTTCAAATTATTAATCCTTCAATCTTTCTGTTTATGTTATTATATTTCATTAGAATATCATACAATTCATTAAGCATTTGTCACTTTTCAAAATTAGCTTCATTCAGTCACATGTTCAAGAAATTATGTATTTTAAAATTTTGTAAGAGTTAATAGAATTTTTTGTTTGAGAAAAAATAGAGGCTTTCGATGATGAAATAGAGTAGAGAGAATGATTCTCTGTTACAGATGAGAAGACATGATGCTTACATGTGTGAAATTCATGAGCGGCGGGTTCAAATTTAATAGGACAAGGCCATTAAAGGTCATGATGTTCGATTGTCTCTTTAGTGCCAGTAGCATGATTTTAATTCGTTTTCATCAAAAGAAACAAATTTCTCACTGACTTCTTAAATTTCTCGCTAATAGATTTTTGTTTGAAAATTTCACATCAACCTGTTGTTTCAATTTTGTGAGAAGCATAAAAAACTAAGTAGCTGGAAAACGAATTGGATTACATCGAGTAATTCCGGTTAAAGAACACATTTTTTTGCAATATTTTCTTTCAATGCAATACGAGGTCATTGTTACCCCCCTATAAATAATTCCTTTGGAATGACAAACAACTAGTAAGAATAGAAAATTTCGGGAAAATCAACAGAAAAGGAAATTAATAAAGCAATATCAGTTTCAAACTTATTTCACTTCAATCTAACATAATGATGAATGCAATGACTCACTCATCCAAAAAATTTTCTCCTTCTGAGAGCTAAATGATACAAAAGAATTTGTTAATTTAAATATTTTGCTAAAAAATGTGCGCTTTAAGGAAACCTTTCGAAATTAGCATTATCAGAAATAATTTGATGAGAGCCCGACAAGGGGAATCAAAAAAAGTGCTGGAAGATCACAACATAATAGGTGGTAGGACATGATAAAATGTATCAAAAATTTAGATCAAACCTTATTAAGCATGTACATTAGTTCTTCATCTTCTACTTACTAATCAATAAGAAATTAAATGATGAGAAATCTCGAAATAGGGATAATATTTGTGTAACAAACTATGAATCACGAGCCTACAAGGTTAACACTCCTGTATCAGTGATTCATTGATAGTGTAAGTTAACAGTTGTCAAATTCAAGACGATGTAAATATATTTTTATTTTCAGATATTAATGAATGTGAGACAGGAATAGCTAAATGTCCGGAATATTCGACATGCGTTAATCTGCCGGGAACATATTTTTGCAATTGTACGGAAGGATTTCAACCATTGGGCATACCACTTGAGCGTTGTGCTGGTAGAATTGATTTATTTTTTAAAAGACTTCTTTTGAAGGAATATAAAAAACAACAGATATATTTAAATAGTAGAAATTCAAATTTAAATATCGATTTCTTAGGCATATAGATTTGAATGCAGATCTCCTTATATCAATTGAGAAGAAAT